TCCTCTTCATTTTATAGATCCTGAACCTGAGGCACAGACAGGTTAAGTGACTTGCCCCAGATCACACAGCTAGGCAGGGGCAGAGCCGGGTTTCAAAGAGAGGCCATGTGGATCCAGAGCCCATGCCTGGTGTCCCAGCTTAATGGAGGGCCACTGCAAGCTTCACCTGGGGGAGGAACCTGGTCAGATTCCCATCACGACAAGAGCACTTGGGACAAGCTCAGCAAATACTCAGGAGCTAAGCCTGCAGGACTGGTGAGGAGTAGGAGGAGGCTGGGTAGAAAAAGAGCAGAGAAGGCGTGGGCTGATCTCCTGGGAACACAGGGAGAACCCAAGGCTGGGGAGCTTGAGGAACCAGATGGGTTTCATGTGCTCCAGATCCATATGAGCCAGGCTGGGAGAACCCGGGGCTGGGGGGCTTGAGGAAGCAGACAGTGCTTCTGTGCTCCAGACATGTACCGAGGCAGGCCCGGGAGGGACAGACAGCTGGGTTGGTCCACAGACAAGTGTGAAACACAACTGGGATGTGCGCTGAAAGCAAAGGTGCCCACCCCTCCACCCCCATTCTGAGATCTCTTTATAACAGGGGTTTCAGCCTGGTAGGAAGGCAGAGGTGGGGGTGGGCTGGGGTCCCTGAGGAGATACGTGAGCGAAGATGGGAAGGTTCACTAGGAGCTGCTCAGAAGAAGAGAGGGAGCCGTGCCCCGGGCAGAGGAAACAGAGAGTTACGAGTGACAGCCTGTGGGGCAGCTCATGGAGGGTGAGGCGTGAGAGGAGGGAGTGCCAGCACTGAGGACGTGGGTCAGGACCATATAGGGCCTTGTGGTCTGGTTGAGGGGCTGTGTCTTTCTCCTGGGAGTGAGGATTTGGGGGGGGACTGATGGGGTCAGAGTGGAGTTCTGGAAGCTCTCTCTGGCTGTGGAGGTCATCCAGGAGAGAGCAGGTGGTTGTGTACACAAGGGTAGGGGAGTGGGAAGGGTGCAGCAGAGGAGGATGGAGAGAACCCTGAGGGATCAGTGCCACTTCCCCTGTGGGGATGCTGGGTGTTCTGGAAGGTGGTGGGTAGGCACCTGGCCAGGGGCCCTGGGAGAGGGCCAGTCAGGTGTGGGGTGCTCATGAGCTCTGCCTGCAGGTGTGGAGTTCACGGAGTCCTGGCCAGGGCTCTTCTGTGAATCACCTGCTTGGTGGCCCAGGACCACCTGGGGCAGCTCCGCCCCACAGCCAGGTAAAGAATGTGGAAACCTAGGCAGAGCATCTCAAGGGGAGAAGGGCAGTGAACAATGTGGAATGCTTCCCAGAGGATGAGGAAGTCAAGGCTGAAACGTCCTTTCTTTAGCAGCTGTGGGGAGAGAACTGGAAGGGCCGGAGGTTTGGAAGGAGGAAGAAATTGAAAGTCAGACTCACAGGGAAGCAGTAGTTCCTGGTGACAAGATCCAGGGACTGGCCTTGGGGGGTAAGTTCGCTGGGGGGGCGGGGGGAGTGAAGGCCCCAGAAACAACCAGAAGCCGGAAATGGGGTCAAAGAACTTCAGGGCCAGGGAGGTGAACGGTTCATGTCTAAGAAATCTTAAACCTCCCAGGCAATGGCAGAAACTGGGTGGGAAGGAAGAGCGAGCAGGTCTCCATGTTGGGAGGGGCCCAGGTGCAGGTGGGGGGGTTACAGGACGGGGTGGGTGGAGGCAGGGCCCACCTGGCGGTCAACACCTTGCACAACAGAAAGTACCAACAGGAGCCTGCAGATACCAATGGCCCCTCACCTTTTCTGCTTCCTCTCCCTGTCAATCCCCCCCAACCCAGGCTGCAAGGAAAACGTGAGCCTAGAACATTCAAACACATCTGGGGTGAGACCTACATTCACAGCCTGACCCAGCACACGTATGTCGTTGCTGTTGTTAGGTGCCTTCGAGTCAGTTCTGAGTCATAGCAACTCTGTGTACAACAGAACGAAACACTGCCCGGTCCTGCGCCACCCTCACAATCATTGCTGTGTTTGAGCCCATTGTTGCAGCCTCTGCGTCAGTCCATCTCATTGAGGGTCTTCCTCTCTTTCACTGACGCTCTTCTTAACCAAACATGATGTTCTTCTACAGGGACTGGTCCTTCCTGATAACATGTCTTACCGATGAAGATCAAAGACTACAGACTTCAATATGGGTTACACCTCAACATAAAGAAAACAAAAATCCTCACAACTAGACCAACAAGCAACATCATGATAAATGGAGAAAAGATTAAAGTTGTCAAGGATTTCATTTTATTTGGATCCACAATCAATGCCCATGGAAACAGCAGTCAAGAAATCAAACAACATATTGCACCAGGCAAATCTGCTGCAAAAGACCTCTTTAAAGCGTTAAAAAGCAAAGGTGTCACTTTGAGGACTAAGGTGCGCCTGACTGAAGCCATGGTATTTTCGATCGCCTCATACGCGTGTGAAATCTGGATAATTGATAAGAAAGACTGAAGAAGAATTGATGCCATCGAATTATGGCGTTGGTTAAGAATATTGACTATACCATGGACTGCCAAAAGAATGAACACACATATCTTGGAAGAAGTACAGCCAGAATGCTCCTTAGAAGCAAAGACGGTGAAACTTGTTTCAGGTACTTTGGACATGTTATCAATACGTACATAGATGCGTCTAACAGACACGACCCTCACACAGGTCCCTCGGTGACACAAGTGGTTTGTGCTTGGCTGCTAACCTAACGGCTGGTGGTTCAAACCCACCCAGGGGAGCTTTGATAAAGATTAAAACCGAAAAAACCAAACCCGATTCTGTCCATTCCAACTCATGGCAACCCTCTAGAGCAGGGCAGAACTGAGGAGAACTGCCCCATAGGGCTTCCAGGAGCAGCTGGTGGATTCAAACTGCCAACCTTTTGGTTAGCAACGGTAGCTCTTAACCACTCAACCATCAGGGCTCCTGGTAAAAATTATACCCAAGAAAACCCTATGGAGCCGTTCTGCTCCATAACACATGGGGATGCCATGGAGTCGTTTCTTTTTTTTTTTTTTGGGTCACCGTCACCACGTGACTGATGGTGTCCTATTTTTCCCTTTTCAGTCCTAGTCAAGACCCACTATGTTGATTTCACAAACTTCTAATGAGTCTCAGCAGCCCTGGTGGCGCAGTGGTTAAGAACTCAGCTGCTAACCAAAAGGTCGGCAGTTCGAATCCATCAGCCACTCCTGGGAAACCCTATGGGGCAGTTCTACTCCAGTTTGAAATCCCTGCTTCAGGAAAGGCTGAGTTTAGCAGGAAAGGCTGTTTCCCTAGAGATAAGGAAGTGGAGGAAATGACGTTTGTAAACAAACTAAGTTAAAGGTTGGCGGTTCAAACCCACCCAGTGCAGCTGGGGCATAAACAAACTTCACAACGTAAGAAGCTTCCAGAGGGTTGCCGAGGGCCCTCAAATATAGGAAAAGGAGAAGGGTCAATAGTAGGAGGACCCGGGGAAGCGATGCGTTTATGCGGGAGGGGACTATGCGGGAGAGGACCTCGGCTAGCAGCGGTGCTTGGACGCTAAGCCTGTGTCTGGGCGAGACTAAGGTGTTGACCTGGACGATGTCTAAGGCACCTTCCTCCCCAAGAGTCTTACAATTCTGGCATTTTTCAGAACCAAAAAACCCAAACCAAACCCGTTGCCGTCAGCCCCATACGGTTTCCAAGGAGCACCTGGTGGATTCGAACGTCCAACCTCTTAGAGCAGCCGTAGGCCCTTAACCACTACCCCACCACGGTTTCCCACTGTTCGAAGCATTTGTGGAATTCCCATTTAGAAACTGCCTTTTGGGGTAGGTTAATCACCCAAGCCATGAGTTAAGTACCTCATAAGGATACCCCAAATTAAGTATTAAGTTAAAAAAAAAAAAATCATGATGTAACGGTTAGCTGAGTGAACATGATTTTGGTCACTAAATCCCAGAATTCCAGACTGAAGGAACCCCGACGTGTGAAGGATGTGGTTTCAGAACAAACCAAAGAGCACTGTCTTTTACAAAGACTGCAAATGTGGCTGGAGACCTTATAAGAGTCATTTAACCCAGGTTCCTTACTGCTGCTCCCCCTGTGCACAGTGGGGCGTAAGGACAGGCCAGTTTACCGACCTTCTCGTCAGAAGGGAGCCCCGAAATTCCAGCGGAGGCCAGCCTTTGGGGATGCCTACGGCAGTGGGGGCCGCAGACCACCAGAATGACCTGCTTCGGCGCTCCTCGCTCCACGGTTCCTCCCAGACCTCAGAACCGGCCGCCGGACCCCCGGTGGTCGCCTCTTGTCCAACAATGATCCCTCCTTCCGGGCTCCCTTCTAATGAGCGGCAGAAACCAGGGTCAGCTTCCCTCCCCTCCACTGTCCACCAGCCCCAGTCACCCCTCACTTACGCCCCATCCTGGGCCGGCCTTTCGAACCCTCCACCCACCGCCGCAGGTCGAGCCCTGGCCCCCAGTATAACGAGCCTCCAGAAAGTGAACCAGCGGGACGGGGGCGGGGGGGCGCCAGACCCCGGATTCCAGTGCCCCTAAACCCTGCACAGGCACTTCAGCCCTGAAGCAGCTCCTTAATCGCTGCCCCAGGCCCTAAACCCGCCACCAAATCGCCGCACAGTACGCCGAGGCCCTGAAACTTACACAACTCGGGGCTTTAGGATTAAAGCACTACTTGTGCGAAGTTACAATAAGGCCACGCGCGCTCATGACTCGGCCCCACGGCCCCGGGCTCGGCAGGCGCGGTCACGCGAGAAGCCAACGGCACAGCCAAGAAGGGTGCGCAGCCCAGGGGTAGGCTTAGGGGCACACACGGGGGCCGGCCCGAGGGCGGGGCGGGGCCGCCCCAGGGGCGCCGAGACCTTCCCGAGCATTCCGGGCCGCGCAGGCGCACTAGGTCGGCGCGGCCGTCCGCCCGCGGAAGGTTCTGGGGAGGGGCGGGCCCGGCCAGTGCGCATGTGTGGGCGCGCGCGGCCCCGGCGGCGGTTGGGGAGGGTTCTTCCGGAAGGTTCGGGAGGCTTCTGGAAAAGGCGCCGCGCGCTGGGCGGGCCCGCCTCTATATAAGGGAGGCGCGGGGGCGGCGCGCCAGTTGCTTCTGCGTCCTGGTGCTGCTGCTTTGCGGAGTGTGTGCAGGCTTTTCGCCAAGGTGAAGGGGGCGTTTGGGGGGCACCTCAGGGGCCAGGCCGGGAGCCAGGCAGGCGGGCGCGGAGCAGGGGGCGTCCGGGCGAGTCCAGCTGTGGCCACCTCGGCCCACGTTTTTGGGGGTGGCCTGTGCGGCCTACCCGGACGGCCGGCTCTCTGAATGTTCTGGAGCTGCGGTGGGGAGGGGTCGCCGGAGGCGAGACTCTCGCCCCTGGGGTTGTTTGTCCGGCCGGCCCACGTCGCGGGGAGGCCGCCGCGGCGGGGGCGACATGGCGGCGCCCCCCCCCCCAGTCCGCCGAGAGAGGCGTCCGTGGACGGTACCGGCCTCCGTGAGCGCGCACACGGTCCTCGCGGTTACCCATTCGGAATGAGGTCATTCTTTGTCAGTCGGCCCCCTGCGCTCGGTCTCCCCGAATCTCGTTTAAATAAGGTTCCACAAATACGTGCCTGAGGGCTGGGATCTCGCAGCGCCGCTGTGCGCGTACTGCGGTGTTGAAGACTGCGCGCTGTCCTTTCCAGATGCCTGAGGAGACCCAGACCCAAGACCAGCCCATGGAGGAGGAGGAGGTGGAGACGTTTGCCTTCCAGGCCGAAATTGCCCAGTTGATGTCCTTGATCATCAATACTTTCTATTCGAACAAAGAGATTTTTCTGAGGGAGCTGATTTCAAATTCATCAGATGTAAGTCTCGTGTTAGGCCACCATTTGGTTTTCGTTTCAGTCTGAATGTCCACGCTTTGGGGACGGTGTGCTTGACGATACCGTGTTTTTTACAATAGGCGTTGGACAAGATCAGATACGAAAGCTTGACAGATCCCAGTAAGCTAGACTCTGGGAAGGAGCTGCATATTAATCTCATTCCAAACAAGCAAGATCGAACCCTCACGATTGTAGACACTGGAATTGGGATGACCAAGGCCGACTTGATCAATAATCTCGGTACCATCGCCAAGTCGGGGACCAAAGCGTTCATGGAAGCTTTGCAGGCTGGTGCAGACATCTCCATGATTGGCCAGTTTGGTGTGGGGTTTTACTCTGCGTATTTGGTTGCTGAGAAAGTGACTGTGATCACCAAACATAATGACGATGAGCAGTATGCATGGGAGTCTTCCGCAGGAGGGTCCTTCACAGTTAGGACGGACACAGGTAGGTACCTGCTAGGAGGGTTTCCTTCGGGGGAACTGCAGGCACTGGGCTTCCAGAGGATGCTGTGAAATTTGTAAACGCTGTTTGCCCCACGTGCTCAGGCGCCAGCTAGTGAGCACTTACCTAGTGTGTGGCTTTCTGGTTGGTTACGGCCAGGTGCTTAACTACTGTGGGAGTCTTATCCCTGATAATGGTGTTCTGCTTTGTAGACATAATTCGAAAAGGATGAGCTGTGGTCGTCCTTTTTAACTGACCTTGAGAGCTGAGTTTTTTTTTCTTTAAACCTTGATCGGGTTAAAAGGTTAAAATCAAGTTTCTTTTTGTTCTTCCCTTTCAGGAGAACCTATGGGTCGTGGAACAAAGGTGATCTTGCATCTGAAAGAAGACCAAACGGAGTACTTGGAGGAAAGGAGGATGAAGGAGATTGTGAAGAAGCACTCTCAGTTTATCGGCTACCCCATCACCCTCTTCGTGAGTTTCTCTAGAGCCGCAAAGTGAATGTCTTTGTGTAGCTAATTGAAATGACTGAAGTAAATTTTTAGTCTTTAATATTTGTTGATGAGGAGCAGGCCTTGTAATATTTACTAGATTGGTCTGAAGCCTTTTGGAAGCTTAGCAATAATGTCAATTTTGTGAAAGTACCTGGGGCTGTTGAGCAGTAGATCCCGGAAATATTGATGAAAAGCTCCTAGCCACGTTTAGTGTTTCTCAGCTTGGCTGACTAACTTGGGCTGTATTTTTCCTAGCCTGTTTAGTTTGTGAGTGCAGAGGTGAAGTGATTCCGTGTCTCTTTTTGAGGTGGAGAAAGAACGAGATAAAGAAGTGAGTGATGATGAGGCCGAAGAAAAGGAAGAGAAAGAGGAGGAAAAAGAAAAAGAAGAAAAGGAGTCTGATGAGAAGCCTGAAATCGAAGATGTTGGTTCTGATGAAGAGGAGGAAGAAAAGAAGGATGGTGACAAGAAGAAGAGAAAGAAGATCAAGGAAAAGTACATTGACCAAGAGGTGCTCAACAAAACGAAGCCCATTTGGACCAGAAATCCTGACGATATTACTAATGAAGAATACGGCGAATTCTATAAGAGCTTGACCAATGACTGGGAAGACCACCTGGCCGTGAAGGTGAGGGCTGAGTGTTTGAAAGCTAGCCTGCTTCTGTCAGGTCGGCTAAAATTGGAGGGTTAGGTACTGTGAGCTTTTTCCAAAGTGCTTTGTTTATGGAGCTGTCTGCGTTCAACTGGCAGGGTAATGAGCTTTGAGTGAAAGTCACTTGCGTTGTTTATTGGAACTTTTAGCGTGAGTTTTTGTTTTTGTTTCAATTACAGCATTTCTCAGTGGAAGGACAGCTAGAATTCAGAGCCCTTCTCTTTGTGCCAAGACGTGCTCCCTTTGATCTGTTTGAAAACAGAAAGAAGAAGAACAACATTAAGTTGTACGTACGCAGAGTTTTCATCATGGATAATTGTGAAGAGCTAATTCCTGAATACCTGAGTAAGTACGGTTGGATGTGAAGGGCGGTCACTGATGGAAAGAAATTCGCTCAAGTCCCAAGTTCTTAAACCTAATTGAAAAAAGTTCATGTTTTGCTTTCTTCTGCATTTATGTATTTCTCAGTTTTATCCTTGAGTGCATTTCGTCGTTTTTTTTTTTAGATTTTATTAGAGGTGTGGTGGACTCTGAGGATCTTCCTCTAAATATTTCCCGTGAGATGTTGCAACAAAGCAAAATCTTGAAAGTTATCAGGAAGAACTTGGTCAAAAAGTGCTTAGAACTCTTCACTGAACTGGCAGAAGATAAAGAAAACTACAAGAAGTTTTATGAGCAGTTCTCTAAAAACATTAAGGTTCGTAACCACGTTTGACCACTTATTACCTGTTTTCAAAGTAGCTTCCCATATTGTAAACATTTTTTTTTTTTAAAGAAAAATTTCTGTTAAAACTAATGCTAGTTTTCTTTTTCAGCTTGGAATACATGAAGATTCTCAAAATCGGAAGAAGCTTTCAGAGCTGTTAAGGTATTACACATCTGCTTCGGGTGATGAGATGGTGTCTCTCAAGGACTATTGTACCAGAATGAAGGAAAACCAGAAACACATCTATTACATCACTGGTAAGGGGACAGTAAATGTTAGCGTCCCATGACTGTTTTTGTAACCTCATGTGTACTGTGGGGTGTTTCCTCCGCACGTGGGACTACATATCAATTACCACAGTTGGTGTTGATCTGTGCAAGATGCTCTGTTTTCCTGAGCTAGCCCCTGCCTGTGTGGTTAAGCTGTGCTAAGTATCTGGCTGGGCTAGACAGTAAGAAACAAGTAATTGTATTCACATTATTCCAGGTGAAACCAAGGACCAAGTTGCTAACTCGGCCTTTGTGGAACGTCTCCGGAAGCATGGCTTAGAAGTGATCTATATGATCGAGCCCATCGATGAGTACTGTGTCCAACAGCTGAAGGAGTTTGAGGGGAAGACTTTAGTGTCAGTCACCAAAGAGGGCTTGGAACTTCCAGAAGATGAAGAAGAGAAAAAGAAACAAGAAGAGAAAAAAACAAAGTTTGAGAATCTCTGCAAGATCATGAAAGACATTTTGGAGAAAAAAGTTGAAAAGGTATGTGAATAAAGTGTCTGATTCTTGACACTTTTTCTGAGGTGTTTCTTCAAATTTAAGTCATACATAGCTATCTCCTTTTCCTTGTAAGTGTCTTTAATGTATACAAAAAGTCTGGCCTTGGGGTTCACTGATGAATTATAGGGCTTACAAACTCCAAAGACCTGAAAAGGGGAGGCTTGTTACAGGAAGAGGCTTTGGACACCTAAGTTTGTAGTAAAAATTGAAAACATTATTTTTGATCTGTTGATACTTTAGAAAGAGTTCTTCAGATTTCATTTCAGTTAAGCGGGTTAGTACTAAGAAGGGAAAATAATTTCTAGGCCTCCTCAGCACCAGCTGCTTTTGATGTATAGGTGGTGGTGTCAAACCGGTTGGTCACGTCCCCGTGCTGCATCGTCACAAGCACATACGGCTGGACGGCGAACATGGAAAGAATCATGAAGGCTCAAGCCCTGAGAGACAACTCGACCATGGGCTACATGGCAGCAAAGAAACATCTGGAGATCAACCCCGACCATTCCATCATTGAGACCTTACGGCAAAAGGCCGAGGCCGACAAGAATGATAAGTCTGTGAAGGATCTGGTCATCTTACTCTATGAAACCGCACTCCTGTCTTCTGGCTTCAGTCTAGAAGATCCCCAGACACATGCTAACAGGATCTACAGGATGATCAAACTTGGTCTGGGTAAGCCGTGCCCCGATAGTGTGGTGGTAAGCAAGGGACACTTGAGCTTTGCGTGTACAAAAAGGGTAATCTCAGCTACTTGGAACGAGGTGAGATTGTGTTGCCTAGCTGGGGAGAGCTAGTCTTCTTAGTCACTTGGTTTATGAGCAGGGCTAACAGAAAGGAAAGTAGATGGAGCTGTTCTATGCCTGCTGAGTCTTGAGAGAGTGGTGTGGGCGTCGATCGGCAGTTTTGGGCTAACTGGCTGGCTTTAAGAACTTGTCCTAATCTGAGGATCTTGTTTCCGAAAAGGTATTGATGAAGATGACCCTACTGCTGACGATAGCAGTGCTGCTGTCACTGAAGAAATGCCACCTCTGGAAGGGGATGATGACACGTCCCGCATGGAAGAGGTCGACTAAGCTCTGCCTGTACATGTGCTCAGTGCTTTATCTTCATTCCCTCTGTTAATATATTTTCAAGGATTTTTTTTTTCTTGATTTTTGTTAACATTTTAAAAAGCTGTGTGGCATGACAATAAGGGGAAGATAAGATTTCTTTCTACTTCTAAGTGTGATGCTGTGATACTTTAGGCACTAAAGCAGAGCTAGTAATGTTTTTCTGGTTTCACGTTGGCTTAACAACTTGAGGTGACATTGTAAGGCGTACGTAACCTAATGTTAACTCAGTGGTCTAAAGTGTTTAGCTGTTAAACAGATTCCTGGTAAGCCAAATTTTTGTCACTGAAGTGTTGAGATACACTTTGATGTTTAAAAGAAAAATCTTTGTTAAAAGTTTGAGTTTCACTTTCTAGGATGTTCTTTTCAAGCCTCCATCCCCCGTAGTTAAATTCTGCATGTACTAGGCCTCTAGAAGTTAGTACGCGACACTAAAGCAACTCAGTGGGACCTCAGTATCCATAGAGCTTGTTTCCAAAGAAGGATGTATTGATTCAGAGTAGCAAAATTCTGCGCCAGCTAGGCTGTTGTAAAGTAACCCTGCTGAGCTTGTGAGGGAAAGTGTAGTGCCCAGATTACCTGCTGAGTCAAAAGGTTGTAACAAATAAAGTTAAATTACAAAGAAATGGTGTGTGAAAATGTTTTTTGGAGGGGTTCTAGATAACACGGTGACCCCAAAATACGCAAGTGTTAGGTATGCTGTCATTTCCGCAGGCGATTCAAGGGTGTGTGGGCCCAATGGAAGGAGATTGTTGATGCAGTTCCACCCGGGGTGTACCAGCTAGATGCAGGTGGGGGGTGATGAGCATATTGTAGTCATAAAGGAGAAAGAAAACAGGCTAGAGAAAGACACATTCTCCATCCATACCTTCTGTTCTAAATACAGACGCCTTACTACATTGTTCTGAAGTTTCCAATTCCTCAAGTTACCAAGTTAATTCAAGCCATACCACCTGAAGTCGTCTCTGGTTCTTTATTCAGTCTCAGAGCCCGATGATGAGGTGCTTGCTAAGATCAGTGAGTTGGTAGATGAGGGAGGCCCTGGGTCTTCACTGGACCGCACAGCTGAACTAGGTAAGGTCTCTGCGTGGAAGGGGAGTAACAGCGAAGTCAAAGTCTTTTGGTCCTGAGGTTAGGCAATTCTAGGAAGGAAAATCGGTAGGTACAGCAGAGGACTTGGAAGGATCCTGAAGCAAAGACTGCATGTAAAAACATGGGGCTTTTCAGTAGATGACAGTGATGTAATGTGCAGCAGGGGGACCTGAGATTCTATCCAGTGAGACAAGTGAGAGCTGGAACCTGTCAGGACTGCCTTGTTTTCCCAGGTCTCGTGAGTTTTCCACCTTTGACAGTGTGGTCTTAACCACTTCTCTATGGCTTGTCTTAGTGGAAAATATTTTTCTTGCAGGTTTCCACGTTACCTAGGTTCCGCTTTTGCGGGTTTTACTGTGTTATACAGGTCGCAGTCCCTGGGGCTTAGTAAGTGCCATGTACTTGTTAAGTAGTAATTGCCCTTAATCCTTCAATCGTCTGAGGCAGGAGTTTATTCTTACATGATAAGCAAAAGGAATTAGACTGAGGTGCTGCTTATTGAAATGTGCTATCACCAAAGAGAGTTTGAGGTTTACAAGGTAGAATTAGGAATTGAGTGGCAGAAAGGCCAAGGGGTAGAATTTTTTTTTCTAGTGTCTAGTACTAGAATACTTAAGACTCGGTTCAAATCAAAAGCGACCGGCATTTGAGAAAATAATTTGAAGACCTTTTGCGTGAAGGATCTTCCTTCCTGGTTATTGGGCCTCCGAAACTCCTGCCCAGGACCCCCTGTGCTGGATGGAGACTTGGACCATGGAGAAGATGGATCTGGCTCAGCGGGTGGGAAGTTGAACTGTTGGACACACTGTTCCCACACATTCTTTGAGTCTTGTCTGTGCTTCCAGGTCCAGTTTTGCTTGAAGACCTTATCTAGTCCCATCCTGCCAAAGTAATGAATGGGAACGCGAAGATGTACATAGATTAGGAAAGATGAGTAAGACTATTTTCTGGTGACACAGTTGTCTCATGTGGGCAACCACTGAGGAATCTTCAAAGATGGTGCTAGAAGAAGTGAGTTTAGCAATCAGAATGAGATCAATGTGCTAAACTCAGTTGACCCTGTTAGCAACACCCTCAGATTTTAAAAAATTCCTTCACAGTAACCGACTTTTTTTTAAATTATTCACAACATACAAAGTAGGAATAAAATCTGCGATGCCTGTACACAGAAAACTGCAAAGCTTTGCTGAAAGACGCAGATAAACAGACTTAGTGCTGGAAGGCTCAGTATTACTGTGATGTGGAGTCTTTCTCAGAAGCAACGTGCTACCTGAAAGAGACCAGACGCAAAAGTCTACATACTGTATGATTTCATTTGTGTACATTTCTAGAAAAGGCAAAGCTGTAGCCACGAAGCAGACGAGTGGTTGCCTGGGGCCAGGAGTCGGACTCGGGGCTGGCTGCAAAGGGGCATGAGGGAAACTTGGGGGACAGTGGCAGTATTCTACAACTTGAGGGAATGGCTGCACAACTGTATTTATAAAATCCATACAGGTGCCTACCTAAAAATGGGTGAATTTTATGGTATATTATACCTCAAGCTGAAAAATAAAAATTTTTAAAAAGAGAAGGTTCAGAAGGCCATCTGTTGGAGTTCAAACACGACCTTGAGCAAGTGGCTGGACCCCCCAGGCCGCCTTAACCTCATTGTACCCCTGACCTTTAGGGGCTCTTCTGGCATTTTCTAGGTAGTGGTGTCGGGCAGGTAGCAAGTGCTGGAAAATGGAGCTTTATATTCAAGGGCTCATCTACTTGAGGGAGGTTCTTCCCTGTCCTAAACCCATTGCCTTCGAGTTGATTCCGACTCATAGTGACCCTATAGAACAGGGTGGAACTACCCCATAGAGTTTCCAAGGAGCACTTGGTGGATTTGAACTGCCGACTTTTCGGTTATCAGCCGTAGCTCTTAACCACTATGCCACCAGGGTTTCACTCCCTGTCCTATGGGCTTGTTTTACCAGGCCTACTTCTACCCCATAAATTATTTCCAAGTGTAATCTGTCATCCTGCAAATGCTATCCATCCTGCAAGCTCCAGCCTAGGCCTCACTCCCTCCAGGGAGTTTTCCTAGATTTCTTTTGCCCTCGCCATCTCGTGATCTAAGCCTTCAGTAACTCCCTGCCAGGCATACATTCACCTAGTCTTAATGAACACCTTCCACAAACCAGGCCAGTCCAGGGGCCACGTAGATGGTCAGGGCATCTTCTGGGAAGGCTGGCAGACCAAAGCTAAGCTAAGGCAACTGCCATAAAGCCACCAATGCCACCACTGAAAGGTAAGCACAGAGTTTGGGGGAGCTCAGGAAGGAGGTGAGTGCTGATACAAGCTGACCTGATTTCAGTAGAAAGAAGGTGGAGGGGGGGGTCTTAGATATCTAGTGCTGCTATAACAAATACCCCAAGGGGGTGGCTTTGACAAAAATTTATTTTCTCCCAGTTGAGGAGAAGTCCAAATTCAGGGCAACAGCTCCCGGGGAGAGCTTTCTCTGTTGGTTCTGGGAGAAGGTCCTTGTCATCAGTCTAGGAACTACTCAGTGCAGGGACCCCAGGTCCAAAGGACGAGCTCCACTCTCAGCACTTCTTTCTTGGTGGTATGAGGTCCCCTTGTCTCTCTGATCGCTTCTCTCTTTTACATCTCAGAAGAGATTGACTCAAAATACAAACTAATCCTGTAGATTGAGTCCTGCCTCATTAACATAACTGCCTCTAATCCTGCCTCATTAACATCATAGAGTTTAGGATTTACAACACCTAGGAAAATCACATCACAGAATGGTGGACAATCAACAGTATACTGGGAATCATGGCCTAGCCAAATTGACACACATTTTTAGGGGACACAATTCAATCCATAATGGCGCTTACCCAGATAGAGGAGGCCCGCAAGGACACTTGTGTTTGGTCTTAGGAAGGGACACGGAGCTGTCTGCTTGGCAACGCAGGGGCAAGGGAGGTAAAGCAGGAACAGCTAGCTCTCTCCTTAACCATGGGACCTTGAACATCAGCCCTGGACTTGCCTGGGTTCAGAAATGCCCTTAATAGCAGTAACTCGCATTTGGTAAATCAATTCCATGTCTCGGTCCATATAGTTGTTCATGTTAATGCCTGGTGGCCCCTTACTCCATCCCAGCCCATCCTAGCTCATTTCTCAGATGAGAAAAAACAAGAGCCACGGGGCAAAGCCACACCTCTGTTTGGTTCCCTGTCCCCCGCGCTTCCTGTCTCCTGGGGTCCCAGGACCGGGAGGAGTTTCCTGGGCTCAGCTCCGCCTCCAGAGGAGGGGTTACCAAGAGCCAACATGACCTGTTGTGAGGTTTAAGAGCAAGGGGTTTTACCTGCTTGGTTCACCTATGTGGTCCAAATACTTAAAACCGAGCCTTACACCTGTGCACATGGCAGACAACCCAGTGTTTGCTGAACAAATAAACGAGCTTAAGCGCTTCACGGTTTACAAATGCTTTCACTTTCAGTATCTGTCTTAGTTCCCTAGTGCCGCTGTAACAGAAATATCAGAAGTGGGTGGCTTTAAAGAACAGAAACTTATTTTCTCACTGTTCAGGAGGCTGTGAGTCCAAATTCAGGGCGCCAGCTCTAGGGGAAGGTTCTTGTCTCAGCTTCCGTCGCTCCGAAGTTCCTCAGTTCCTTGGTGATCTTCACGTGACACCCATCTTTCCCGGTGTGTGTTTGCTTGTCTCTGTGTCTAGGCTGCTCCTTATAACTCAGAAGTGATCAGGTTTAGGACACACTCCACACCGATATGACCTCATTAACATAACAAAGAAAACTATTTCCAGACGGGATCATGTCCACCGGTGGAATTAGGAGGACTCCAATATATAGTTTGGGGGAACTCAGTTCAATGCATAACAGCATCTAATTATTTCTTTTATTTTTTTAATGTCCTATTTTGGAACATTTTCAAACATATTCAAAGTAGAGGGAGACATAACAAGCATTGACAAGATGGAGAAATTGGAATCCGCATACACTGTTGGTGGGAAGGTAAAATGGTGCAGCCACTGCGGAAAACAGCCTGGCGGACTCAGAAGCTTAAACAGAGTTAACATATGACCCGGCAATTTCATTCCTAAGGTACATATCCAAGAGAAAGAAAAACATGTCCATGCAAAAATTTGTACCCTCTACCATTCGTAGTAGCATTATTCATAATTAGACAAAATACGAAAACAACACAAATGTCCGTCAACAATGAGTGGATGAAGACAATGTGGTATACACATACACAGAAAGCAGGCTGGTGGTTGCCTAACGCTGAGGTCGGGGACACAAAATGAGAAGTCACTGCTAATGTACGCAGGGCTTCCTTTAGGGACGATGAAAATGTTCTAAAACCGATCGTGGCGACAGTTGTGTAACTCTGAATATACTAAAAACCATTAAAGCGTACTTGTGAATGGTGAATTGTATGGAATGCCAATTATACCCTAAAAATGCTGTTACTATTTTTTTAAGTAGAGGCAATTATTTTATGAACCACGACATACCCATCAACTAACTTCAACAATTATTGTTAC